ACGACTGCTTGGAGACCATATCGGACAACGTGAACAGAGTCAAGGCCACCTCCGCTGTAGTACCAGAAGACAAGGACACACATACCATGTGGAACGCAGATCGCGTCTACCTCATTGCCCAGTGGTTGCATATATTTTCGAAGTCTTCGAACAGATGGTGTCTATCATTTCAGCGCTTGGAGCACGTGTAAAAATTATACGACTCCACGCTTGTTTCCATGATACCGCAACGCTTGAAAGGAAAATAAAATACCAAGGTCGATGCTGACAACCTGCCGTACGCATACCCTACGATAAAGCTGAAATGTTGGAGCGGGGCGGAGTCTTGCCCACCCCTAGGGAGGAGGCACGTCTTTTCCAAGAAAGGGCACGCATGCATGCGGAGCGTCGTCTGTTTCTACCGCTTCCCGTATCGTCGTTTACCACGGTTGTATGGTAGGGCTTCTGCTTTTATTGTTCGCAAGTTTACACCTGGATGGGCCTTCACAAAAATGATTGTTGCAATTGGTGAATTGCAGAGCCGAACAAACATTCCCCAAAAAACCACAGCCCGGTGACCGCCCGTGTTGTCAACAGTGTAGAAAGTATACCGCCCGCATACGCCACCTCGCTTATCAGCGACGCGGCGCACGCCTACGAAGGGCTTGATGATACAAATCTCTGGGAATGTGTATCTTCACTGTGCCGCGATTCTGCCAAGGCCAGGGGGAGAACCAGCGTCACCGGGTCGACGTCCTGGAAGGTCGAAGTTTGCTTCGGTGGGGACGTGGGCTACCACCATCACGGCCGCATCATTGTCATCATTCGTTCACTTGAACGCCTTCTCCATGGTTACCTTGGTCTTCGGATTTTTCGCGTAGGTGATTTCCTCTTGTGCCAGCGCCGGGGTATACCTATCGGTGGACCGCTGTCCGACCACACGCTCGAAATCGCATTCACCCGGAAGGAGCATGACGCGACGGAGCGTTTGAAGCAGAGGCCTCGACACATTGCATGCGGCCGGTATGCTGATGACCTGGCTTGCCTGAGCTATAACTACTGGGGTGTATGGCGACACCACCGCTTTCCAAGTCGACAACGCCTTCACGGTCCTCCACGGTTCCACGGCCGTGCAAAACTATTTAGACACCTAATTGCATTTCTCTTTCAACGGACTCACCGTGGAGTTCGTGCACAAGAACGAACGGTTTGCATTCACAGGGGACCCCATCGCGCTGTCCAAAAAGTCTCTCCAACCATTCGCCGGTAACGGTGGAAACCCTGTACTCCAAAAACGCCGTGCTGAACTTATTAGACGTTTGCGGAGATGGCGGAGTTAAAAAATCACCGAAGCAAATGTCCGCACGGTCGTCATAACAGACATGCTGTATTATCTTAGATTGGGGTATTGTAGTTCACATATTAAGAGCTTATGAAAATCTGTACAGTTGGACACGACTGAAAATACTATTGTGCGTGAGTCTTTCTATGCATTGAAGTTATGTTGTGGTTTCACTACGTACTCTGACCCGTCATCATCACCATTATCATCGTTTCACAACATGTGCACATCTACTCTCGAGCTTTTTGAAGGAGTGCCTGGTACACATACGCTCACCCATCAAGTCGGGAGTGCTCGAGGCACGCACTATCAATGGACTGCCAGAGGAAAGGGCAATGGCAAGGGCAAGCCGAGCCTGCATGCGCCTCGCTACCAACATCCGCATTCCTCGGGCGGAGCCGGTGCCATTGCAGGCTTGACAGACACGTTCTCGTCGTGCATGGAGCAGGCAAAGGCCTTAGGGCAGATGGCAGCCATGGGAGCGGCCCTGAACAACAGTACTGCATCGGGCCAGCCAATCGCCGCGTAACCACAGCCGCAGGAACCTCCATCGAGCAACCGCCAGTGCCCTGGTGGCCGAATTGCAGCAAGGCCAGAAACGGACAGCTATTCCAAACAGCAGGGTGACGCACTCGGTCAACAGGCTCTCGGAGGTTACTGGGCAAGGAGAAGCAGTGCAATCGTTCGAGACACAACTTGAGAGCAGCAGTGCGTTGAAGCGACTCCGGGCTGACCTGACAGCCATGGGCTCCGAAGGGGCATCGCAGAAGGGAGAGATCCACGCCATCAAGAGCACCGTGGACAGCACTGCCCGGGACATCGGCGACATGAGGTGCATGCTTGCCCAATGCCTGTGGCGCCAGCAAGAGATGCCAGATGAGGAGGACTCGCCATTCTTCCGCGCCACCGTCACTATTGAGACACACGACCATTTCATACGCTGCTTCGGTATCAGCACGGCCCGCTCGGATATGAAACAGCTCAAGACAGATGTCCAGGGCAAGAGCTTCGGCTACGCCGAGTGGTGGTTGCGTGCTGGAGGGTGTAAGTCACTGGCCCAATTTGGAGAGAAGATCACGAAGCTGCCGGGAGGAGACGATATTGACAAGCAGGCGATGCTTGCCGACAAGGTGGCGATTGGCAATTACTTTGTCTCACACCTGCAGGCCAACGGGGAGATGTCGCCGAACGAGCTCCAACCGCACCCATGAGGCAGCGCAATGAAAGTGGATACCAGCGCTACGGCAAGCGCAATCCAACGCCACGTGGCCAGGAGTGTTAGCATCTGTGGGTGTGTAAGATTAGCTCTCCAGTTTAGTGTGGTCTGGGTTTTTGTGCAGTTTCTCATGCTAGCGGTTGCCACCCGGAATGGCATCGAGACCAACGCCGCCATCCTCAGAGACCGGCTCGTCGGTATCCTACCATCTTATGTAGCGTGCAAGATGCTCAATTGGTGGTGGGTGTATGGCTGGTTTGGCGCGGCTGGCGCCTCCAATGCATTAAAAGATGATGTCTCCAGCAACCTGGTTCGTCTGGACCCTTCCCACACGCTCCACTCCCATCTCTCACGCCTCAGTCTGATATATCCCACCACCTCATCAGCTTCGGCATTACTGCGCTGATTGGGTGGGTACGCAGACGATGAACACCCAGCGTGTTTACAGAGATATCTTGGCGCACCGCAGGCGGATGACTCAAATGAGGAATGCTTAGCGGAACCAGTGCCTCGCTGACACGTGGACCTCTGACTTGAAGCATGTGTACATTACGTGATTGCCCCTATTGCTTGTGGGTGGCGCGGGTACATTTGCGTGACACGTCTGCGGAGGGAGGTCTTGCAGTGAAACGATTGAGTGCTAGGGTCTGGCGCGCGTCCGCATGTTACAGAGATCTGTAAAGGCAACGCCCGGGGCACCAGGGGAGCGTTCACTCAATGTTTGCCCGTGCCGTTTTCGCTTCTTCCCCTTGTGTCTGCTTGCTTTCTCCTCCCCTGCCCTGCCCCCTTGCCCCGGCTCCCGCCCAGAGTCACGTTGCATGACTTCGGTATGCTATATCTGTGCTTTTGTATGCTTCCTCCGCAGCTGTTTTCAGCGCCATCACAGTGCAACGTTCCCCAAGAAATATTGTAAACTGGGGCCGCACCATGGCCATAGCAGCAGGTGCTCAAATCGCGAGTGCGGGCCTGAACGTTTGCAGCTGGATGTATAAAAATGACGTCTCGCTCTGCACGGGGAGCGGGAGAGAGCAGGCATGACGGCAACATCAGCAGTGTTATGCATGCTTTTCTATCCACGTAGTTGTCGAGGAAGAGGAGGAGGAGGAATGTCCGAGGAGGCCCCAGGAGGTCCCGGGAGGCACAGAAGTCTCCAGGAGGCCCCAAGAGGCCCCAGGAGGCCCCAGGAGGAGGCAGGAGGCCTAAGGAGGAGGCGGGAGGAAGAGGAGGAGGAGGCGGAGGAGGAGGGGCAGAAGGAGGAGGAGGAGGAGGAAGATGGAGACGGGGAGGAGGCGGAGGAGGGAGAGGGAGAGGAGGAGGAGGAGGGAGAGGGGAGGAAGAGGAGGAGGAGGAGGAGGAGGAGGAGGATGAGGATGAGGAGGAGGAGGAGGGAGAGGGAGAGGGGAAAGGAGGAGGAGGAGGTGAAGGAGGCAAGAGGAGGAGGAGGCAGGGGTCGAGCCGGGAAGAGGAGGCAGGAGTAGGTGGGAGAAGGGAGGGGGCATGAGGAATCCCCCGGCAAATGAAACATAGTTTAATGTGGGGTGCTACCGTCGGAGTAGTTCTATACAGATGTGCGTGTGGCTCTAGCACTCGATATGTAAACGTGTATATTCGCTGTTGTGTATGCATGTACATACGTACACACATATATGCGTGTATATATATATAGGCATGGATATGTATGCATATGTGTACACACACACACCGTTGTAACCATATAGACTCTCTGTGTCCGCGAAGCAACCACGGCCCCCTCCCGCACTGGCGGGCCGGGGAAGGCATCGGACTGGTGGCCCCAGTTGCCTCCAGCTGGGGGAGTTGCTCCCTCTCGCTGCACCTCGCGCGGCCTGGCAGCGCCTTCACATGCACCATTCGGGCCACGACGCGACACCGACGTCGGTGTGCCCGCTGGGGTCGCTACGCTCCCATTCCCGACAGAACGATACATCAGCATGCGCATTGAGGTGTTGGGCGTTATCTGATAGGGGGGGGGACGAGGAATCGGAGGGGGGAGATCTTTGGACATCGTGTGCCCCTGCTGGGACCAGGCGGCCCCTCTGTGGCACACAACAGATGCGCCCTTCCTCACACCCACCCAGCCACTCATCGCACACCAATTACTGCACGCCCGAACCTACGACACAGCACAAGAACCAGGTAACTTTGCAAAGGAGGAGCCAGATGCGCATGCATTCCATGCTCACTCAAGGTAGCCAAGAGTCGCTCAAGCAAATCTGAAAAGCGGGGATGTGATGAACGTTCGGGTCCAGAGACTGACCTCGATCGCGCCAAGGGGACTGAATAACAGAAGAAAAGTTGACAGATGGAGATGAAAAGGGTGGAGGATGGAAAGACGAGGGAAGGGAAGATATCAATAAAGAGAGAGAGGGAGAGAGAGAGAGAGAGTTGGACAGAGAGAGAGAGAGAGTGAAAGCAATAATAAAGAGCGATGGTGAGGCAAGCGGCCTTAACGCAGCTTGCCGCTCCTGCGGGCTTCCATGGAGTAAATGCACTGCGATTCCGTTGCCTGCCGTCCAGTCTTTCAGCTCGCGGCGCCACTGCTCCAGCAAACTGACCGGCGTGACTATGAGGAAGCGCGACGCCTCCGCTCCGATCAACTCCCCACTTCTTCCCCGCACGGAAATGTGGCCTTGGGCAAGCCAGGACACTTAAACCGCCCGATGGTCAAAATATACACTTGATGCGGTCGGAAGCGGTGTAACGTAGGCATGCTACATCGATGCTGGAGCAACTAATGATCGATTGCCACATCCATCCTCGTATGAAATATTCCGCCTCACCCACCTCGTCCGTGGAACCCCTCACATTGTTTGACTCTTTATTTTTGCATGTGTTGCTCCTGCCTGCTCCTTGTTACTTTGAACAATTTTTTGGCACCGTGGGACCCCTCGCGTGAAAGGTCAGACCTATCAGTCGAAGCCAGGCGTGGATGGTGAGCCCAGCAAACGATGAGCACGGAGGGCCGATACCCTGCAGATCAAATGTGATGTCCGCCCCGGACTTCGAAGCAGGCGCCAGGACTTACAAGACCAAGCAGCCGACCCTGAGGTGCGCCGCCAGAACATGTCCATACCCCAGAGCCACACCTTCTGGCGGCGTGCTCTAGGCCATAAGGGAGCGGGGTATACTGATGAGGCCCACCCCACAGGAGCCAGCAAATGCCCACGTCTACAAATGACAAGTCCTGGTGTCCAAGAGCACGACGCCAAAGCGGAGGAGACCCAGGAGGGACTCGATCCACAGCTTAGCGGCCCAGACTCTTCGGTCGCGACTCCATGGAAACAGGCTGCGTTGCGCGGACGACCCATACGGAACGCACCCATGGCATCGCGTATCCACGGAATCGCCCAGACCGCGAAGTCATGAAAATGAGCAGTTCACAGTTGAACTCACAAAACCAATGTTTGTTTAATATATAAGTATACACATATATTGCATAAAAAACTGGTTTGCCTGACGTGCTGGGCGCGGGAGAAGATCAATTCGGCCAGGACCTCCACCCTGCTCTCGTGCCTCCCCACGAGCGCGGGCTCTGCCCAGCCTGCTGCCCCTCCCCTCTGCCGGTGCTGGCAATGCGCAGGCCTGCCTCCGCGAGACGCGGCAGTCGGCTGACTCGCTGACTCGGCTCAACTCCGCTCTGGCTTGAATCCAACGTGTCGTTGCTGCATGCAGCAGATCGCAAAATCACTCTGTAGTGCCCTGAAGCATACGTGCGACTAACCCTGAATTGCGAATATCAACCTCTCTCCCATTTCGGTGAAATTATTTCACGACCCGTCCCGGATACATACATATATATATATATGTATGTATGCGTATATATATATATATATATAAAATTCTGTATCGCACACGGAACCCTCACTGCGGAATGCCACCAAGATCAGGATAGAGACCCAACAAGACCCCAATCGGATTCCAATGAGTCTTGCCAGATTTCTGGAAGGTTCCTGAGGATGCCTGAAGATGCCTGAAGACTCCAGACAACTCCTGAGGTTTGCATAATGATTCCGTCAGGACTCCCGAAGGCTCCTTCTGAAAAGTCCTGCCAGATGCCTAAGAGGATATCTGGGGTTGTTGGAGTGTTGGAGGATTCTAGAAGAAGGCGGACGGATTCCTCAAGAGATCCCTGCGGGCCCCTGAAAGATGATTGGAGCTTCTTGAGATTTCTCTACGCACCCCCCCCCCGTCAGGAACTGAATAATTGATGGGGGTGCCAGCGAAAGCGCTCGACGGGTACCCCCCTCGGTGATGTCTGTGCTGCGGATGAGGGCGGGGACCAAGAATGCCAGATTCCAAATCAGAAGCCGAACATCGAATCGGAATCGATCGAACCGAAGCGAATCGAGACGGATGAATCGAAATGCGCCCTGCCCCCCGAACCGCTGGCCACGGCACAATTCTCGCCGCCGCCGCCTGGGAATGAGCCACCCCTACCGGATTTACCAGGCGGCGCTGGCGGCATCTTGACGTGACCGGCCCCCTCCTTCCCTCCTTCCCCTACCCCAGGTCACGCCTGCAAACTTGGCGACATCCAAACCCCACCCCCACCAACCACTGATTCTCCCAGAAAGGGGGGCGGGCGGGGGTAGGGTTCGGATTTCGCCACGTGTCTGGCGAATGCCGGACCACTTGCCACCGAATCCCGGCACGTGGACTGAAAACGCAGGTCCGGCGCGATACGTTCCCCCAAAAGTAGGCCAACACGTGCCGAGCCAACACGCAACGCGTTGAACTCGGACGCTTCAGAAACAGCACGTGTTGCATTTCAACACGGGCATGCCAGGGTAGCTCAAGTTCGGATTTCGCCGTCGACGTATCGCCAAGGGTTAAGCAAGAAGCGTATCCAGCATGCTTCCACGACGCTGGAGGCGTGGCGGAAAGGCGCGCCCGCTGGCGGGCATCGTCGTCGTCGTCGTCGCGGTCGTCGTCGCTGTTGTCGTCGTCTTCCTCCTCGTCGATTCTGTCGTCGTCGTCGTCGTCGTCGTCGTTCCTGGTTGTCGTCGTCGCTGTCGTCGTGATCGTCGTCGTCGGGGGGGCGCGCTCGCCTCAGCTCCGAGGAGGGGGCTTCGACTGCGGCGGCGCCCGCCCTCCGGAGCGCCTGGTGGGAGAAGCGGAGGCTCGCAAGGAACGCCGCGCACTGCACCGTCTTACCCAGGCCCATCTCGTCCGCGAGGATACCGCCGCTCTCCTCGACAAACGAACCGGCCAAAACTTTTTTCCCGCACACAAGGTCCCAATAGATTCTGTCGAATCCGCTTCCCCCCATGGTGGCTATAACCGCACCATCAACGAACCGCAGCCGCCCCCAGGCAAAACGCGCGGACATGGGCTCGCACCGCTCTGTAGCACTATAGCGGCAGAGCTCGGCGTACCGTCCAGAACACACAGAACATCCGAGCGTGCCCTCCCAAGGATGCACAAGAACATCCAACAGGCACAAAGACCATTAGGGCACCCTCCCCGAACCGACCTCGATCGGATATCTCGGCCCGACTGTACCATGGGGTGGTTCGGAGGGAACAGGGAACTGTCTATGGGTATGGGTGCGGGTTGTCGGACCCCGGGAGGGGCTCCCGCGAGCGGGGAAACCCAATCGACAACACGCACCCGTAGCCCTCTCCGTCCCCCTGGGTATGGGTGTGTGTCGTTCGTTCGTCGCTCCTCTCGCTGCCAAGGGTCACGGGCGCCGAACGTATCCGTATCCGCGCCCTCGCGGTCTGGATTTCGGAATGCGATTCCGCGGATGCGGGGTCGCACGGATACGTTTCGCGCGCGGCATCCGCGAACTGAAATGCCCCGTACCCGCGAGTTCGCGGCCGAGAGTTCCGTCTCGCGAGGCCGCAGATACGAATGTGCTGTTCGCCCACGACAAGGAAGGGAGGGTGAATTTGCCCCTCCGCGGGGCGCAACTTTTCGACATTCGCGACGATGCCGTGACCGACCCCGCCCCCCCCCCTCCACCCCTAGGGGACCCAGCCTGGGAATGAGCCTCTCCTGAGCTTTCTCAGGCGGCGCCGGCGCGAATCGTGGCGTGACCGGTCCCCCCCCCCGGGACAAGGAAAGGCGACACCAACACCACCAGGGCGAGGAGATGCGAGGAGAAAGGGAGGTCTCCCTGGTGGTGTGGTCCCCCCTCTCGCTCGAGACATCCCTAGCCTCCAGCTCGGGGAGGCATCGTGGACCTCCTCGCTGGAGGTGGCGCCCCTAGTGGTGTTGGTGTCG